TAAAAATTAAAAATTAAAAACCTAGATAGATCAATATGGAGTTTTTTGGTTAATTATCTTTCATACTGGTTCTGTCACTTTTGCTCGAGTGTCTACGTGTGTGTATGTGTGCGCCCTAGCGTCTATATGCAATACGTTTGCTAAATCAGACTTGTAAAAGGTTAAATCTCAGGTTCTGCAGCTCAAGGCCCAACGACCCAAGAGAAAGCCATGGCCGCGAGTGAGTAGGTCCGTAAACAAGTTTGGTTGAGATAGTGAGATATGAGCTTGTAAGCATGAAAATCAAGTTAAGAAACCACTTATCCTAACCTTTCAGTCTAGGGTCATTAACGCTTAACCCCCCAAGGAAAAGCAAGACTAGGGTTGTGTAATCGGAAATTTTTGGTTTGGTAGATGAGCCTACTCTAACATGTTGGACGAATATGAGTGAAATTAGAAGCATCACCGAGCTATTAATTTTAATAGCCTCTCATAACTTTCTTTTAACCAGAGACGTACCATAATCTGCAAACCTACTAGTTTTAGGCCATTCTATTTATGTCCAGTTTCTACCATATGCTCGGCCACTACTAACCGTTCGATCCAGCTTCCTTTAAACTCATTTTTGTGTTCACCCAATTTTTGTCGAATAGGTCGAATAGAGACATCTAGAAACCCTACTAAGATGACAATCTTTCTAAGGCTGTATTATATGGTCAAAATGAAGGATCACCTCTAGTTCAATATTATTCTTTACCTCCTTAGGCAATCTATCTAGTACAACCCTGGAGGATAGTGTAGTACTTTTATTGGAAATAGGTTAGAATTTTGTTCTTCCAAATGAGGTTAACCATTTTCTGGAAATACTTGTTGAATAAATTAACTTATGTGATAGATTGCCTGAAGAGGTAAAGAATACTATTGAACTGTAAGGTAATCCCTCATTTTGACCATATAATACCGCCTAAGAAAGATTTACATCTTAGTAGGATTTCTAAATATCTGTGTAATCGTATTTTTATCATAACGAGAGCCGACAAAGTGGAATAGTGGTACTTATGCATATGTGAAGTTATATTTAAAAAATGCTAGTTTATTTAAATGACAATGACACGTATAGGCCTTTACTGAGAGACCCAACAGAAAGACTTAA